TTTTTAAAAATTCATGTGAGACCAGCAGTTAGCATAATGGCTAAGTCGCTGGACTCCCATGGAGCCAACTGTGGCTCGAGTCCCGGACCCAGTGACTTAAACTCACGCCGGGCACGTGTGTGTGTGTGCCCAAGATCCTGAGAGGAGAATGGAGGAGAAGGGATTGCAGCAAGGCCATCCCCCCGGGGGGTGATTTCTCACTTTCTGTCTGTCTGTCTTTCTGGCAAGCACACGCGCCCTGTAGCAAAAACCTCTCCAAAAAAAAAAAAAAAAAAAAAAAATTCATGTTACAAAAGAAGAACACACACGAGAGTAAGACAGAGGGATAAGCATTCTCACAGGATCTGGATCGCTCCCCAACTCCCTTCCTCCAGGCTATGTGATGCTGTGCACTCACGCACACGCCTGATGGGTTTCAGTCTGACTGGTCCAGGGATTCAAACTGTAGTCACCAGAGAAACCGGACTTCTCTCCAACAGCACAAATGCTGTGCCACAGAACCAGCCCCAGATGAGCATCTTAAATCCATTCCACCTCAGATTATAATACTTGAGTCAATCACTTCCTGGTATTTCCCCAAAAATACTTCCTTTAAATGTCCTAGTGTTCCTGGCATAGAAAACCTCTATGAAAGGTCTTCAGTTGAAAAGTCTTTTAAGGTAAAGGAAGCATACTATGCATTGCGAAGAAAACTTGAGACAGTCTTCATTGACTTTAAAGCAAATATGGCCCTAACTAGGGTTCAAGGTAACAGTTGTCCAAAAAATAAAAATAATGCACTCCCATCTCAAAGAAAGAAACTTTGGTTGAGCTATTAGCCTTTTTTTAGCACACTTACCCAGGTTGGGTCCCCAACTACATATGGTCAGCCCTCCCTATCCACAAGCTCTGCATCAGTGGATTCAGCCAACCACAGATACACCAGGCTACAAAAACTGTTACGAAATGGGGAAGAGGTGGCTCCCTAAAAGGAAGGTGCTGAAGTTCACCTATATATTTTCCTTTTTACTTTATCTAATACTAACTACTTATAAATAATCTAGAGATGATTTAAAGTACATAGGAGGATGTGCACAGATTATATGCAAATACTAGCCACTTTACAAAGGGACTTGAACATGTGCAAACTATGGTTATCCATGTAGGGTCCTAGAAGCAATCCCCCAAGCACACTGAGGGAGTGCTATACATGTAAATGTTAGAGACATTTCTCAATCTAACAATAAAGAGAAATGCTATTATTTGGTATGTAATTTATCAGCAACTAACATTTCAACTGTCTTTTTTCCCTCTCTATACTTCTTTTCTAAACTCAACCAGTCCAGTAATCTTTCAGAAAGAAAAGGGGAGGGATCAGCAGGTGGTGTGGTGGTTAAAGTGCTGGACTCTCACATGGCTGACTGCAGTCCTAGTCCAGATCCAGTGGCTTGAAAATCACACTGGGTGGGGACCAGCAGTTAGCATAATGGCTATGTCGCTGGACTCCCACGTAGTCGACCGCGGTTCACCTCCGGGACCCAGTGGCTTAAAACTCACGCCGGGCGTGTGTGCGCATATGCCCCAAGATCCCAAGAGGAGAAGGGATTGCGGCGTGGCCATACCCCCTTGGGGGGAGTTTTCTCGCTTTCTATCTCTCTGTCTCTCTCTGTCTTGCGAGCGCACGCACCCTATAGCAAAAACCTCACCAATAAAAAAAGAAAATCACACTAGGTGCACATGGCACCCAAAATCCTGAGAGAAGAATGGAGGAGAAGGGACTGCAACCTAACTAACCCCACTGAGGGGTGATTTCTCTCTCTAGATAGATAGATAGATAGATAGATAGACAGACAGACAGATAGATAGATATATGTCTCCTGGGAATGCTCATGCACTACAGGAAAAAGAAAAAAAAAAAAAAAAGAAGAAGAAAGAAAAGGGGAAATACCTGAAGCGATGGTGGTTATTGCAGAGAGGGAATGGGGGGATTGTTCACTATTTAGCATAATCTATCATCAGAGTCAAAACAGCATCAAAGTTAATTTTTTAAAAATTTAAGAATTATTTATTTTAATTTGCTATAGGGCACATTTACTCACCAGAGAGAGACAGAGACGGAGAGAGAAGAGAGAAAGCAAGTCACCAGGTTCAGGACTTGAACCATGGTCAGCCATGCGGGAGTCTAGTGCCTTAACCACCATGCCACTTGCCAGCCCATCAAAGTTAATTCTAAATTTGCACCCACAATGCACTCTAACCCACAATCTATTACCTCAACAGGACTTAAAACATTCTTTTTCCCTCATTTCATTCAATTTTATGTAAACAAGGTTATAACAAATTCATTGTTTCACCACTAGGTTTTGAAAAGGAATCTTAAAATTTTTCTTTAACTAACTTAGTGGTACATAATGGTTATTTTAAAAGATGTCCATCTTTTAAAGTAAAGTATACACTGTATAATATACTTAATAAGAGCACTTAAAATCACAGTGGCTTTGGACAAAGTAATCTTCATGTTGCCTTTCAATCTCATGTCTCTTCTGCAATAATGCATTCACAATACTCTCTCTTTGTACTGAGAAAACAACCACAAACATGTTTTCAAAGTTCAAATGATTTTTTCTTTTGAATTTCAAAAAGAACACCACAAAATGCTGCTTCAGCAAGCAGGATGTTACTAGTCATTCCACACAACTGCTGTTGGGGAACACAGGAGCATAGGGGTAAATATAAAGCAGAGAGAAGAGGAGAATATTTTCATTACAAATCTCAAAATATCCTCTTAATTTTCTACAAGCATAAGTGGCAAAGCTGTGTAAAAAATAAATAGACATAGATCACTACAGACAGGCAAATAATTACAACCACAGGCAGTAAAATGACGACAAGTGCAAAGACACACAAAGACCACAGGCTGCTCTGGAATGCTGGGGCCACGTGGTGCACAGAGGACAGGAGCTTGGGAAAAGACTGTATTGTGGCAAGCCCCTGTCATGGGTGCACATCTCTCTATAGAGAGCTCACAAGCACTCTTAGTCACTCGTTTGCTCTCTCTCATGAAATAAGATTAAAAAAAAAGGACTGTGGCTGAAATCCAGTTTCACTGGTAATTTTTATATTTATTTAGGGACATGAGACAGTTCTTTATAAGCATTTGATGTGAGCCACTTTATTCAAAGGTGCATGGCCTCCCTAAGCCATGTTTAAATTACAAGGAGGATTTCTACATGGAGACAGATGTACAATGTAATATACATTGTATCTCAATGCTACTTCCATCTTTATTGTAAACTTCAGCTCTTATCAGTGAGGAAACTATAACTACAGGTATGCAAAGTAAAAGAAGCAGAATACAGTCCTTCTGCATAGCACAAATACTGCTAAAAATGGACTAAAAATCAAACATTTATTTTCTCTTAGAAGTTCAAAATAATCTGACAAATTTCAAATATTAACAGGTACAAACTACCAGCTTCCCCAGCCCTCCCAACTCACTGCACTTATCCCAGAGTTTAGGCGCAAATGTAAAGGTCTAAAGCTTACAGAGTGATTACTTCCTTGCCCAGAGAGTATGATGAATAGCAAGTGAAAATTAACCAAGAATGTCTCTTTGATCAAACTCCATCCAGGTTCCTCTGAGCCCTTCTCAAAGGGGCTGCAAACTGAGCTGATTTTCAAGATTTTCAACAATAATAATTTTACTCACCTCCTTATTCCTACATTAAAAGACTTAAACTAATGTCGCTTCTAACAGCTCAAGGCAGCATCCCTTGGATGACCCTATCCCTCCCATGAAGTATCTGCCTCTTAAAGCTCAAGGATGCCAAAAGAATTTACCTTTTGTTCTAGCCAACACCTGAAGACAGGCCCTGATCACTCTCTCAGAACATCTACTAAAAAAGGGCTTACAATTGTGAATCCTCCTTCTGTCCCTCTGATAGAGACAGACAGACAGACAGATACAAAGAGAGATATAGCTATCTCTATCTACAGCTCCTGTAACTCAGGAGTCTCTTTCTCAAGAACCTGAAAGCCATTCTTTTAAAATGTAGTCATCAGGAAGGACAGGGGCTCCATCTTTAAGTCCCTGGGGCAGGACAGAATTCTAACTTCAAGAATTGCCAACTGGCAGACACAGTTGGCCTAATCAGCAGATTTTACCAACTATTTGTAATTTTTCAGCTCCCAGATCAAGCCCCTCCCTTTCCTCTCCTTCTCCCTTTAAAACTCTGTCCAAACTGTGGTTCAGCTCATGCCGCAATGCCCTTCCCACTGCAATGGTGTTAGCAGGACTAAAATCTGTCCTTATCACTACTTTATGTCTGGCTTTATTGTTCACAAAATAAAGAAAAAAACTTAATTAGTACAAACTTAGTTATTTTATTAATATCACTAAAGTTCTTTAAAATATAAAAAGCCTGAAGGTTTCAACGGGACAAAGGAATTATAAGTCAAGCAGTCAGCCAATCAACATTTGGGGGCTAAAAAAAGCCCCTAGGCAGAAATCAAACCCAAGTATTATGTTTTACAAATGATAAATCTAAGGCCCAAGGAGATAAAGTAACTTACCCAAGGTGATTTCACTGAGGAATGTGATTAGGAGGGGCTTACCAAGAAATGAGTCTCTTTCCGACTCCAACATGAAAATATTCTTTCTGTTGTATTTTCATTGGTAAAACAACATTCATCATTAATCATTCAAGTCAAGATCAGCAAGAATATATATTACCCTATTAAAACACACACGTTTTTACAACTCCCCTGTACACAGACCATGGTGAGCTAAGGAAAGTTTGTTTGGTTCAGCTAGAGAAGACTGCATTTTACTCAGGGAAGGCTGCTCCAACAGTCCTAGGCAAATATATGAACATACTGGTGAGGAGAAACTGCTTTCACACACAAGCTAAGAAAACAAAACCCAATGCATAAATCCAAAGGAGAGCCATATGATTTAGATTGCTTAAAAAATACCAAAAGAAGAAAAATAAAAATAAATTAAAGCCTTTTTCTGCACTTACCAGCAAAGCATTTGGAACAGAGATTCATAGTCTTGCTGGACCTGGGGCAAAAAAAAAGAAAAGAAAGAAAGAAGAGCTAAAAATTCCATATTACTCTAATCAAAACATAAAATGTTTGAAATGTAGGCAAAAAATCTCCTGGCCAAGCAACTGAACTAATAACAAGTCCTCAACCAGTCACCCCTCCCTACCAACAAAATAAAAACACACCAAACAAATGAAATAAAATACAGCATTTTTTAAACCTGTGAGTTAGCCAATGCTTTATTGTGATCAGCTGCTCACATAGCAGCAAGTTCAGAAATACTGTAATATGCCCAGAGATGAAACAGGGGTCAGTTTATACCACATTATTACCACATTCCCTCTGTTCACACTGGAATACATACCACAAAGTGATCACTATAAACAAGATAAATTTTGTGTGTAAAGGGTTAAAACTTTCTTCTTATGTACACTTTTATTTGTCCCCATAACACCACTTAAACTTTTATCCCATCATCTTTCTTCTTGTCCCATTTCAGACCCTGGTCACATTATAACCTTGTTGTTTAAAATTCTTTCTTCAGATGCTTCCAATCAAATTATTTTTCATGTCCTCTCATCTGTTAATAATAGCTACAACTCACTGAATACTAACTTGGGTGGGCATTTAACATATATTATCTTATTAATCTTCTCAACATCCCGATGATGGGTATTACCATATTTCTTTGCTTCTTCTGAAATGCACTCTTTAAAAAATCACATTAACATTTTTGTAACCAGAAAATAACTTTACAATTGGCTACAAGTGATGAATATTTAATGAGGAAGTGCCTCCCCACCCCCAACCTCCTCCAGTGTGTTATTAAATTGAGGATCTTAGAAATCAAGGATATACAGTCTCATTCCCACTGGATAGGTGAGCAGTTTGCCAGAGGTCACACAGCCAAGGACCTGCAGAGTACCTGAGCTTAGATCTGAACCTACCAAAGGTCATCCTGCCATCCTTTGTTCAAAGGGCTGCACCTGATACCACACAGTTGCCCAGGAACTACATGGCTGGCAATCAATAATAACTTCTCTGTTAAGTCCATCTCATAGCTGTTTCCTGGTTGTCTCCCAAGACTCCCATTCATTTCAGTTTCAATTCAAGAAAGAAGTGAGGATGAAGGAATTCCTTTTTTACTAGAACTGTCCCCAAGAGAGGCATTCTTGCAGCTCCTTCTTACAAAAGCCTCCTAGGATATTCTATATTGGTCAAGCTGACACATTTACAGCCTCATTCCTCAGCAACTCTCTTCCCAGTATCTGAACGTATTACCTAAATTGCTTTTAAAGACAGAATAAACCAACTTTCTTCTGCCCTCTTTACTAAATTCTACAATTATTAAGAATGCATTCCCCAGGAATTATTCCCTGATTGCCTTCCCATATGCTGGAACTCAAGGCACAGGAGTTAGTACTTGACTGAGTGATAAGATGGAGGGAGAGGATCATTACTGATTTTTCCCAAGAGATACTTTATCAACAAATGGGATATTCCTTTAGAATTCTGCGTAATATAAACACATCAAAGACAATGAGGAAAGTTAAGTATCAATAAATGAACAAAACTGAGCAGATGAAGAGATGTATTAATGGTAGCATTTAACATTCATGACATACTTACTGTGTGGTAGGCATAACACCAGAGGTCTTCAAGCCTATTTTACCAATGAGAAAAGAGAAACTCTAAGAGGGTACATGACTTGCTGAGGATTGCAAAACCAGTTAAGTGAATGCATCTGCTCTAACTCCATAGCCTGTATTCTTTTCACCACACCAAACTAGGGGCTCTGCCCTAGAACAGAAGCTGAGAGGCACATGTCAATTCCAAGCCAGTACTCTAGCACTCTGGTATTTTTTGAGAATGTTCCTACAACTAAAGAAGAATCTATGGTAATCAAGTCAGCTGCCAGACAAAGTAAAACCTATAGAAGCACAACTCATTTTCCCCCAACAAACACCCAGATACAGACACAGGAAAACGACCCAAGACTCCCAGTCATTTCAGTTTCAACCCCAGGATGAACCGAGAAGGAAGGGATCCCTTTTCACAAAAACTCCTTCCAGAGAAGCAGGTCCTCTTCTGATATGGTCACTATCTTTTATCCATACATAACCACAAAGAGCTAGGGACAACTCTTTTTTTTAAGAGATTTTTGCTATAGAGCACATGTGCTTGCCAGAGACAGACAGAAATCAAGAAATCACCCCGCAGGAGGGATGGTCATGTCACAATCCCTTCTCCTCCATTCTCCTCTTGGGATTTTGGGCACGCACGCACAAGCACCCGGCATGGAGGCAAGTCATTTATTGCTTCGGTTGCTCCTCACT